ATAAACCTCCCGCTATTTAACTTCGACTTTCAACCTTCTAATAATAATATTAATATTATTACTGCAATTTAATTTTAATACCCGGCTCACCGCCAAATAAATTATTGCGACGGTTATAAACGCCTATTATTAGAAGGTGATAATTTTCCTATTCCAGTAAGCGACTGGTAAGTGATAAGCGCCCGGCGACCGACCGGTAAACTAGCCCGCGCGGGGTATAAGAATTTCGCTTCCCCCCCCCCGTTTTAAATTTTAAACTCTCCCTTCTACTTATTACCAACCTAAAGTTCTACCTTCGAAAGGAGTTGTTGGGTAGACCATCTTACTAATTACTAACCTATAATGGGGGAGCTGGATTGTTGGATAGAGTAGTCTATTTATTACTAACCTAAAATTCTACCCTCGAAAGAAAGTCAACGAAACTATCTTTTCATACGCGTAAGGACTATTGGATAGACTATCCTACTTATTACTAACCTAAAATTCTACCCCCGAAAGAAAATTAACGAAAACCTATAATTAGGTATTATTGTAAATTCGATAGTAGATATAGATCCTACTTTCTAAATCCTACCTTTCTAGATCCCGTTTATTGAATTAATTCTCCCTTTCCTATCTATCTATTCACTATATTATTAATACCCGATATTGTAGGTGCGGAGGATTTCCTCTCCTTTTTAGGGGTTTCTTTTTTTCTAGTGGTTTCTTTCTTTCTAGGGTCCACCTTTATATATCTTTCTTTTCGTTGTTATTATAAATGTACTTATAAGGAATTACTGGAAATGCGATTAAGATAAACCTATTTGCTACTTTATTAACAAACGAAATACTATTAAGTTAGTATAAATATATCAGGAATATCGTAATAAACGAAGCGAAGTATATTCTATCCAAATATCTATTATCCCTATTTAGTGTTTCCCTTGTTAGTTAACCGGTATTGTTTATTTTACGGTAAATCCTTTAAAATGTGTAAATGCTATTAATAGAATCCTAATATGCCGTATCGTTTTACTACCTGCGGGTAAATAGGATGCTTAATAATAGGTAATACTACGATCCGAGCCGCGGGGGGTTGTAGGTACGATTTAGGCAATATCGGTTAGTTTGTTCCGAATAATTAATATCCTATTATTAATAGGCTACTTGTTGTGAGAAGAGAAATGCTACTGAATTATCCCCTCCTCCTAACCGATTGCAACTGGTATAGCGACCGGTATAATAATGGGTATAGTAACCGCTAGGTCCTCCTCCGCTGAGACCTTTACTACCTCGACTTTAATACGAATATTGCGAAGAGGAATTTAATAAGTTATTAGAGTAGCTACTACAGCTATTTCTGCCTATAGTACTACTAATAGTACTACTACCGATAGTACTACCGATGGTACCCCCTATATTACTACTGCGCTAAAGTCCCCTAGCCCCGGCCCCGGCACTTGCCTCGGCCCCTGTATTTTCCCTAGTACCAGTTCTAGTACCAGTTCCAGTACCGGTACTACCTTAATAAGTATAATAATTTCAGAGAATTATTAATATTAATAAATAGTTTTAAAATTGAAATTGTGTTATACGTTTAGTTACTCCTTTCTTTCTTATAAGAATTTTTAGGTATATCTAAAATACTAAATATATTTTAAATATAGTTAACTATAATTTTTATATAAAACTCTCCGGATACTATTATAGCCCGCCGTTAAATTAATTAAATTCAGCGTAATTATTGTCGTTGTCCTCGTAACGGTCAATAAATCTCAATTACTCCTTCCCTCAATAGTCAGAAACGATACAAGATTAGTATTTGTAATAGGAATAATAATTAAGAAGATGATATTAATAATTAGAATATTAATATAAATAATAATATGGAAGATTATAATCCTAACGTTAATCAAAACCCCGGTCCAAATTCAAATCCAAATTCAAACCCAGACAACGAATATTTCTTTTACTCCGTATATAATATTACCCGGGCTATAATAAATAGGTATATTAATAATAATCTTTTACCCTATACTATATAACTATAGTGCCTTATTGGCATAGGGTCCTTCTCCAGGTTCTCTAGAGGGGAAAACCGTACGGCGTTAAACGCCGCCGGATGAAAACCTCTAGCTTTATTTCGGCCGTAGATTTTCCACACTACTCCTACTTTACTTACAACTATAACGGTTTTTACCCACCGCTATAACGAACCGATTTCGTCTCTTCCTTTACTATATTATTCCAATATTAGAATAATAAGAACAATAGGAATAGGACTAAGAACGCCGCCCTCCTTCGCTACTTCTCCGCCTCAACCCCTACCGCTCCTTCCTCCGCCTTCCTCCCGCTTTCCTATCTTATCTTCCTATCTACCTCCCTACTCCTCCGCTTTAATACCCCTATTTATATTTACTTCCGCCCCGTTCCTTTATTTCCTACTCTACAATTCTACCTCTATATATAATAGTACAAAAACCTTTTCCTCTATATATATAATCCTCCCTACAATTCCCTTCCTTAATTTCCCTTTTCCTTCTTCCTTATTATAATATTATTTAATATAATTTCCTCTAATTATAACCGTACTCGCCCTAATCTAATTAACTTTACTTTTAACCCTAAAGTCCCTTCCCCTAATCCATTTCCGGGCTATACGTCCTCTTTTAATTTTATAACTCCGGGCCTCCTAGAACCCGCAATATTTTTTCATTTACTTTATAGTAATAAGGATTTCAAAATCCCTCCCAACCGGTATAACTATCCCTTCCTTCGCCTAATATTTATATATTAATTCGTATAGTACTATCTATAAAATCCCTTATTTCTATTATACTTTAAACTTCACTACAATCTCGGACTTTAATTTAAAACTTAGTACCCCCAACGCCTTTTATAAAATCGTCGTAAATAAAACTTATTTTATTTTAATTAATTATAAATCTAATACCCTTCCTTTTCTTTTCCTCCTTCTTTATTTAACGTTCAACCCTAACCTCCAATCGTCACGGGGCGCGAGCAAGTACTAAGGTAAGACTTTGATTGTTGTGCGAGGAACAGGAAGAGAATCCTATACGCGCACAAGAACTATATAGGGCACGCTTGTATATAGATCCAATACACGGACTACAGCACGTATATACGTGACTACTGTACTATACTCAAGTAGTTGTACAGTTAACTATACTAATGTAGTACAGTACCCTCTATCTATATATAGGAATATAGCAATAATGCTTATAATACTACCCCCCCTCAAAATAATGCTCCCGCTCGAAAATCTAATATTATATTTATTATTAATAAAGTAGGGCTCACCCAGCCTTCCCGTAGCTACGTCTAATTAGGTATTAGCAAAACTTTTACTAAGGCGGGAAGCTACTTAGCGCCCGCCGGGTATCTTAACTCCCGCTTAAAGGTAGAATACTAGTTAAAATATTGCTAAATATAACCCTTCCGCTATAAGAGCTATTATTACCTTTAACAATCCATCTGTACGTCGTAAACCAGCTTAAAACGCTCCAATTATTGTATATAAAGAACCTTAATAATTCTTATTATTACTGACCCTACTAGGGGTACTATAGGGACGCCTGTAGTATAGCGGTTTACGTAGGACGCCCGTAGCCGCTACTAGTATAAATTGGAAAATTCGTACGTTTAATTCCTTACTTATAATTTATTTTTCTCTTTAAACGCTCAATTATTATACTACTAACGTCTCTCAAATCCTTCTCATCTTCCAATCTTATCCGTTATAAGTGTCCGTTATCTAGGGGAATAGGAGATATAAAACCGCCGTAAGACGTACTATCTCTCGGTACCGCTAATAATTACCCTACAAAAGGGTATATTATAAAGCATTCAATTAGGGTATATGGAATAAATCAAATTGAACTCCTCTTTTTTATTACTTAAAGCTTAGTTTCGTACTTTTTTTTACTCCCTAATTGTAAGGGACTAAAATATTACTTATTATTTAGTTTTATATTTCTTTTTACTTACCGGTTATCTACCGTTAGTATTATTATAGCTAGGATTAGAGGTTGGTCCTAGGCTTCAACTTCTAAAGCTATCTTTATTTTTTACTATATTTTCCACCCTCTTTTAAAATTTGGGTGTAGAGGGCCGAATTCTTGGTAGTTGTTGTAAAGTTATTAAATTAATTTTTAATAGCTATTAAAGTTCTTAACTAATTGCTAATTTAGCAGGTAATATAATTATTTAATGAAATACTTCTAAGAGCTATTAATCTTTTAGTAATCTAATAGCTCATCGAACTCCTAACGCTTATTTTCCTTAAAATTATCCGTCCTAGTAACGATTATACCTTCGTTTATTTTAACGTTTATTATTAATTCTCTTTAATTGGGGAGTCCCTTAATATAAGGCTCAATGCAGAACATATTAATAATATAAGTAACTTTTATATTTTAGGGTAGAGCCAATTCTACCGTATATAAACTAGCCTTTATAATACAAAAAGGTCCTTCAAACCGGGGTATTAACTTATTATATAGTCGCCCCGTAGCGTAATTACTTATATTAAATATTACTTTATCGCCGACTTTATATTTAGGGGTATCCGTACATTTCTTATTTATAGCCGCCTTATAACGCTCTTATATTTATCAGGAGGATATTTTAATGAAGTCCTAAACCTTTTTAAAATATACGATCAACTAATTAGAGTTGAAAATCTGCTTTCGTTATATATCCGTAATATTTAGAAGCAATAGTATAGTTGGTTCTATACCTATCCGAGGGTAAAAATTGTAGTTAGTAAAGAACGGAGTAACCCCTATCGAGGCTAATTTGAAATTATTTCCCTAGAATTCTACTAAAAGTAATTAGTCTACCTAGTCATCCTGCGCCTAATTAACGAATATCCGCAAATATTATTCTATTTTAATATTAATTCTCTTAGTTTGGCTATTTATTTCCTTATAGTATAAGGTAGAGGACTTTAGCTTAATACTTAATTTTTATAATAGTTATTTCTAAAAGGCCAATATAAATTAAATACCTCTATTAAATATAATAGTAATTAGGAAGCTGTAAAATATATAAATATGGTTAATGAACTTTTCTATTAATTCCTCCGTTAATAATCTTTCTATAAGAACAAAATATTGTATTTTTATAAACCTATTTACTATAATTAGCATAAATTCGTATTTAACGCTTCTACCCGCCCTCCTCAATTTAAGGAATAGGGTTACGTAGTTAATAGAAATGTCCCTCCAAAGAATATATAGTATCGGTAAAAGCTTTAAAAATCCTACTAGTAATGTTCTAGTAACTATAGTCTTACTATAGGGAATATATACCTTATAGTAAACATTTACCGCTACGACTATTCCTAATTAGAAATACCAATGTATTAATACTACCGTTTTATTTCTACCCGGGTAACCTCCTTGTACCAATAAATAAGTACGGTAGATCAACTCCAATTAGATTTTTTCGTCGTTAGGAGGAATTACTAACCTATTCCGGAATATAATTCTATTATTAGCTATATAGTATTCGGTAAAGGGGATCTTTGATTTTCTTTTGAAGTACTTTAGCTAACGAATCCCGGATTGGATAGCTTCGCGAATATCGCTTATTATTAGGGAATTGGCGTATGTCCGATCTACTAAATTATTTATATAAATACCTAATTTATTATTATCTTCTTCGAAACTATCCTCCAATGTACAAATTACTAGAAGTACCCCCTTATTTAATATTGCGTTCATTATAGAGCCTTCGCTATTAATATTTATTAAGCGGTCATCCTTAAAAGATTCTCTATTGAAATAGTCGGGATCTATAAGTAGCTTCTATCTAGCTTTCAACCTATTATCTATTTCGTCCCTAAGAACGTGCTCAGGTTTACGACTAAGGGTATCGGGCTTTATATTCGTTAATCTTAAGCAGTATTTAATTATAAAAATTGAATTTTAATAAGAATTCTAATCATTTTATATATTTAAAGGTAAACTTTTTCGTAGTGCTAATCGTTTTTAAGTTCTTATAGTCTATATTAATTTTAAAGGGTTAGGTAGTTCCTTCTAATTTAAGTCTCTATTCCTCCAACGTTTTAATAATTACTAATAGTTATTTATTATATATATTATAATTATATTTGGCCGTCGAATATTGTACGGAAAAGAAGGCTACTAAGTAAAGTTCGCCGTCGTATATCTAGGAAAGAGTACCCCCCGACGACTAGTCTAAGGCATTAACTTCGATAACCGTAGGCTTCTCCTAGTCGTAGATCTTCAATACTAGTATAAATATAAATACCGTCTTTAAAGCCTCAAAGGTATTATTATATTCTTTATCCTACTTCTATTCGATTATTCTCTTCGTAAGTTTATATAATAGTTTACTTATATAGGAGAAGCCGGCGATAAACCGTCTATAAAAGTTTGTAAATCTTAAGAATTATTACAATTAGTATATATTTGTTAATACTTCCTATTTTATAACCGCTTCCACCTTTTTAAGATTTATTTCAATACTACCCGGAGTAATAATTAGCCTAAGATATTTAATTCTTTACGTATAGAATTCGTACTTATTAATATCGATCTGGAGGCCTATATTAATTAAGCGCTAGAACACCTTTTGGACGTATTTAACATAGTCTTTGTAGGTTTCTAAGAAGATTAGGACGTTATTAAAGTAGGCTATTGTATAGATATTAAGGATATTATATAATATATTATTAATAAAGTTCTAGAAAGAAGCTAGTACTCTTAAAAGTCCGAATAGGTAAATTAATAATTCGTATAATCTGAATTATATAATAAATATTATTAGCTATTCGTAGCCCTTAAAAAACGACGCCGAAACCGGAAACGCCGATTTCTGGTCGAGGAGTGCTCCAAAACGAAAACTAACAACGGCAATTGACTCAGGAGGGTCGTTTACATCCTTCACAATATCCTACGACGAGTATAGCGATAGCGTTATATTATTATTACCGATAATTATCCATAGCGGTACTCGTAGGCTCGAAAATAGTGTTTATAACCCGCTCGTAGAAATTTCAATATATAATAACCCCAAAGCCGTACTCACTGCAAAGACTTCGGACAAAATAGAGGAAGATAATAAAATATTAAAGAAGTTTTTTACTAAGGCGAATAAATTTGCGGATTATAATATTATTTCGACCGAAGACCGACGCTAAATTTAAAAGTTACTTCTCGAATTCGCGAAGGTACGTATTAGAAAAGGTAGGTCCGTACGACCCGAGGTTAATAAAGTTAGAACCGACTAATTTATTACTAAGAAGGATTTCGATAATTTAAAGAAGGATATTTTAAAAGAAATTAAAAAAGGTATTTAGGAGGTACGAAAATAATAAGCCGATATTATAGCGAAAACTATTTTAAATAAAATTAGTATTACCCTCTAATAATTATTTATTATTATTACTAAGAAATTTATCCTTTTTAACTTCGAATAGTAATTTATAATTAAACGAGCGATAATTACTATCGAATTTATAAATTATTCGAATAAAAATATAAAAACAGCCTTAATAACGATTTTAAGTAAAACGAAATTTAATTTAATAGTCCGTACGACTATTAGAATATTAATAATAGGAGATTATATAATTATATTCAATAAGTCTATATATAATTAGTATTAGTAAAATTAAATATAGGTTAAAAAAATCCTTAATAAGGATATTTTTATTACTATAAGTACTATACGCGTTCTTATCCGGGGTATACCCTAGGATAATATTAATAATTATATTATATCGGAAATTTTAATAAATATAGTAAAGGATAAAAAGAAGGAGGTAACTATTATTAAAATTTAATTTTAGAAGAGAAGGAACGGAGAGAATAGAAAGTTATTTGTAATGGAAGTTACTACTTCGTGAATAGTATACTTCCTTTAGGACAACCTCTTCCTTTAAAACGGCGGTATATATTTATACGAATCGTTCTAAATTTCAAATAACGTTTAATAATACTATAAATATTAGGGAATTAGATATATAGCGAAATTCTATCGCTAGGAAAATATTTACGCCCATTATATTATTATTAGTCTTATACACGCTAACTATATATATAGTTCGCCCCGTAGACATACGGTATTACTTCGTTCGTAATTGGTAGGATAAACCGTACCTTATAGCCGGATAAAAACCCTCCGCTTCGCTATTGTAACGGTGCCGTATCGGCCCCGTGCCTTTCCTATTTTGCATCCTCTTAATATAATTTCACTATTATAACCGAAGCTATAAACTTATATTATATATATAATCGCCCGGCCCCAACCCGTCGCCGTCCCATTGCCGTCCTTTGTATTATAAACTCCCCGCAATTGGTAGTCTTTTATCCTATCTTTTTTTAATTATATTATCCTAAGCCTCCTAGAATCCTTTAAAGGAAACTTCGACCTAGCTCTCTCCTTCCTTCTTTTCTTTTTTCTTTATACTACGCTACTACCTCCACTACATTATATCCGCCTTCTAGCCGAACCTACTACCGCCCTACAATTATATTTACTTTAAATTAGTTTTATTATATTCGTACTATATTTTATAAGATACTTCCTAATACTAGTACTACAGCTAAGAAGACTTTTATTATAAAGGCGTTAAAAGTTGTAGCTCCGTCTATTAATTTAGAGGGCAATATAGTATTAGACGTTGTAACTTTTAACGCCGGCCCTACTAATTCGCTTCCTACTAATTATAATACTCCTATTATAGCTAATACTTTAGAGAAGGTTAGGAAGTACCTTATTAAGGAGAACCTTAATAAGAAGGGCGCCGCTATAGTATATTTTCGGCCCTTTAACGGCTTTATTTAGTATAATATATATATTTATAATTTATATTATATCCTCCTTAAGATTTTCTAAGATATAGGTTCTTTTAGGGAGGCTTTCAATTAGGTCTAATATATATAAAATCCTTATAAGTCTCTATTCTATCGCTTTAATATTATTATATTTAATTTTTAAGGTAATTTATTTTAGTAATCCTTATTGTAAGTATAGAGTAGCGAAGAAGATTGAAGAGTATTTTAATAGTAAATTTATTCTTTTAATTTACGCCTTTATCGAATCCGTTATAGTATTATACGGCTATAACCTATTTAAGGGTTACAATTTTAAGGCCCTTATTAGTAAAGTATAGAAGATAGCCGTTATATAGGTTGTAATAAATTATATCGGTGCTAAATTATCTTCGGTTAGCGACCTCCTAATTTTAAATTTGGCGATTACTATTGAATTTTCTATAAAAAAGAGAAAGTTTATTATTTATACTACTATCGATCCCTCTATAGACTTCTCTATATTTTATAGCGATGTTATTGTAATTCGTTTTTATATTACGAAGGTTAAGGAGATTATTTATACCTTTTCCAATAAAATTGAATATATTACTATCGATATTAAATATATTAGCGACGGAATAATAGTAATTTATATTAAGTAGAATAGTTTTAATAATTATTTTTCTATTATAAGTACTTTATAATATTCCTTCGTCTACTCTTTTACTAACCCTCTTTATATAATTATCTAGTATTGAATAGACTGTTTATAATATTTATAATTATATTCTAAATTTAAGTTCGGTTATTAATCTTTTATTTAGTCGGTCCTACTACAATTAGAAGATAGTATTTAATAGTATCCCCCTCGATATTAAGGATTCGGAAATAAATTCCAACGAAGAGGATTTCAAGGAGGAGGATTATAGCCCTAATAATAATAAAGCTTATAATATTCTTATTATTAATATAATATTTAAGTTTAGCGTTATAGAATAATTAATCTTTTATTATTCTACCGGTTTAAATATAATTTAATTTCTCTAGGGTTATTTTATATATATTTAGCCGGCTTCCTATTAATTTTAATATAGTTTCTCTTCGGTTAGGTAATTCCTAGTCCTAGCCGGGTTTTTTATATACATAATTAATTTATACTAATCTATACCTTCTAACGTTTCTTTTACTTCTTTTATTCTCTTAATTTTAATTACTAATTTATATTCCTATAACCTCCCTAATTATAAGGCCTATTGTAGGATCCGTTCCGTATTCGTTTTAAATTTATTATAAAGCTCTTCTTCGTTTATTAGTTATATAAGCGCACTTTCGTTTTATAATTATATATATTCCGTTTCCCAGTATTTTAACACTATATATTCGAATATTTCCTTACTTATACTATACCGGTAGAATAGTATCGTTACGCCTAATACTTTCCTCTCGAAAAGGAATATATATAAACCTATCTTCCCAGTTTTTATTTATATTAGTAGGGAGCTTATAATTTTCAATAGGTAATATAATATAAAATTCTTATTCATATTAAGCTATATATAATACTATAATATAATTTTATCGAATTATATAGACGCTTTTATAGTATTTAAACGCCTCCTCTTTCTTATTACTTTAATTACCTTTACGTACTATTTTACTACTTACTCTCTCCTTATTGCCTCTTTTAACTATTTCTCCTTCTCTCTTAGTATAGGGTCCTTTACCTCTCCTTATAATATTAATATATTTTCGATTAGGGCTTATTATATAGTTTATTCAGCTTTTGCTCTACTATTAATTAATATTAATAATAGAGGGCGCTTTACTCTTTTATTTTAAAATTTAATTGTAATTTATATTAGCGTCCTCCGTACGAAGGCTACGGCTAGGGAATAGGCGAATTGTTCCTCGAACGCCTAAACTATTTTATTAAAATAAAAATTAAAAGGGGGGTAGAAGGTTTTTATTTCAAAATTAAATATTAATACTATTTTATATACGCTAGATATTATTTGTAGGTAATTATTTTAAATTATAGTAAAGTTCTATACTAATTCGTATAATTCTCCTATTAATTCTATTAGAGTATAGTAAATTAATACACTATAGGTTATTATTATTCGGATTGCCTTAGTATAGACTTCGCACGTACATACAAAGCTATATCCCTACGTCTTCAATATAATCCGTATTAGAATATAGATTTATATTAATATTTTTTTCTTTACTATTTATAAATATATTCTATAGGTTAATTTATAGTTTAATTATATACCGAAAAATTATACTAATTCTATAAGTACTAATTAGTAGGCCCTTAGGTTAACCGTTTTTTATTTAAATTAATATATTCGTATAAAGTAGATAAACTCCGATTTTACTACTTCGAACTCTATTCCTTTCTTTATAGCCTATTCGTAGTAAATTTTCTATACAACTACTAATTTATTATAATTCTCCCTTATTAACCTTAAAAAAGCAAAAATATTAATATCGTTTATAAAGTTTACTATTATGGTATTTTTAAATCTCTTTAGCGCTTTATATAATATAATAATAAAGAGGAGGAATAGGATTAAAGAGAGGGGGGAGTTTTATAATACTCTTATAATTATATAGAATTCCCTTAATATTATTCTATTAAAATAGAAATCATTTATTTTATTTAATAAAAAGTTTGTAATCTAATTTAAAAATTATAGTAGTAACCTTTTTTTTAGAGAGTATAGAGGAATTACCTATAATTTACTTAGTCGAACGCCCCTTTAAAATTAAGGAGGAATAGTAATATAATTATTCCTAGCTTTTACGCTATCTATACTATTTCCGTAACTACTTTTATTACGAATTTTATTAACCTTCCCTTCTAATTCCCTATTTAGCTTTCGGGTAAAAATTTATATTCCTCCGCTACAAAAGTAAATTATTCTATAGTTATAACCTTTAATACTTTTTTAATATAATTTAGTAGGGCAATAAACCTCTACGTACTTACATTTTTTTCATTATACTACTACTTTACCGGGTTTTTTTAATATTACTACTTTAGCATATCGCTACTACGCTAGGAATAACCCGAATATAAAACTCCCTATTACTACTACCGCTAATACTTCTATTAATTATCTTCTATATACTTTAAGAAGTTTATTAAATATTTAATTACTATTTAGAACTTTATTAAGCGCTATATACTATATTATTTTTATTGTATTATTAGTATTAATTATATAATTTATTATTAGTTAGGACTCCCGTTATATATATTAATCTAATAGGTAGCCCGTCGGTATATTAATTATTAGAAAGAACCTCTCTATTAAAACTTTAACTTTATTTTCGTAGTTTTTTAACTCTTCCTCGTCGCCTTCGTAGTATAGTATTAATATTTTAAATAGTTCAGATAGTAAGTAGCTATACATTCTTCCCTATTATTCTAAAGCCTATAATTTCCTCGGATTCTTCGATATATCTTCTATAAATATATACTATTACTTCGTCTATATAAATTATATAACTTTATCTTACTTCCACTTCACTTCGTCCAACTCCCGCCTTTTTATTAATATTCTCTTTAATTTCTACGCGCGAATTATCCTCCTTATATATTTAATTACCTCTCTTATATCCTTATCCTACTAATTTACCCTTCTACCAACTCTTCTCTTTCGTTTTAATACTATTTTATTTATAACCTTAATTAATTAGGATATTAGCCAGTTTATTACTTCCTTTAATTCCTCTAATATTAAAATTATTTATAGGATTATAGTATATTTATTAGCGAATTCTTTAATCTTTCTAATATTTAGAAGTATTTAACTATATCCTTCGTTACCTCCCGTTAATTCCTTTACAACCTCGGTATAGATAATTACTAATTATATTTAATAATTTAACTTAATAAAGGCTCTATCCTCTATCGTTTAGTATATAACGTATAATAATTCTATAATTTATATATAATCAATTATACTATAAAATTCGCCTTTTATAATATTCTCCAACTATATTAGTTCGCCGCGTAGCGTAGTTAGAATTAATCAGTAGTTAACTACTAGTATTAAAAATATTCGGCTACCCCGATTCTCTCTTCTATATATATCTTAGTTTAGGTAATAAAGGTTTATATTATTTACTACTATATTTCTCCCCCTCAATCCTAATACAATCTCTTTAAGGGGGGTTTACTAGTCCGAATTGGGATTGGAATCCTAAATTAATAAATAGATTAATTATACCCTTACCTCTTCTATTCCTCTCTTAAATTTTATTATTACCTAATCGTTACTTTACTTATAGTCCTACCGTTCGGTTATAAAGCGTTTATTAATATATAGCACTATACGCCCCTAATTAGTACTATTTAACGTTTAATAGCGAAATACTTTAATATTTAATATACTACCTATAGTTACACTCCGGCTTAACTCCTAGATCGCTATAATATTATAATAGTCCTCTATTTTAAATATAATCTTTATTTTATTATACAATTTCGTTATATTATAATATAGTATTTTTAAAATTATTAAGTAAACGGTCAAGGTTCGGCGGACTTTTAGCGTAGTCTAAAATTCAACCTTTATATAATATTAATTATATTAGTAATTTATTATTAATACTTCGTATAGGCTCTATCGAATTTAACTTTAAGTATTATATATTCCTTTTTATAAATATTATAGCTCTTAAAAGAGTAGACTTTCTATTATTAAACTTCTAAATCTTCGAATATAGTATTAAGGACGTTAATATTATTATTTTTTACTTCGGGGTAAAATTATTAGGGTATTATAGGGGCTCCTTAAATAGCTTCTTAATAATTTTAATGTAGGGCTAATATATTATTAATTATAATTAGCGTAGGTCTTAGGGCATATTCTTTCGGCTATTTTATAAACGCTATTAAAGTGTAACTATATATAGTTCTTACAAATAGGTAATTATTCAATATTATAGTATATCCTTTACAATTGTAGGGAAAGTACTTTCTAAAGTTAGATTATTAATTAGAAGGGTAATTAGCTT